CGCCTCAGTAAACTTGAGGCGTAAGCCTCAAAATCTGAACTTATTGCGTCGGCTTTGAGGCTTAAAGGGACAATATTGCGTTGAGGCACTACTTGAGGCGTGCCTTTTATTTCGCAATTTTAAACCATGGGTAATGTCACATAAAACTTCAGCCATGTGATGACCCTGTTAAGAGAGTAGATGTTTTAGATCCGGCCTATTATAAGAAAGGGAGAGGTAGATTAAAAAAGACTTGTTTAGAAAGTCTTAAAAAATAAACTTTTTCTTATATTTAAATGAGAATTTGATTCTCATTAAGACACAATGGAGAAAAAAAAGATTCATGTAGTCGACCCTACAAAGTGGGATAAAGGTTTGTTGTTGTTCTTGTTCTTGTTGGTCTGATCTAAGAGAACAACTATGATTTCTAATCATATGATATGAGTAATCTAAGTTTAAAATCTAGACATTCAAGGTTTATTTTAACTTTGAGAAAAATAGAGAAATTATGTTTTTTTATTATTTTATTTCAATAAAGCCAATAGCAAAGTTGTAAGTAAAAAATTTTTGAGTTTATCCCAACAATTTTCGGATAAACTCAATTTGTTCTTTGTTTAAGAATAATGGCTCGATTCCATCAGAGTTTTTTTTTTTTTTTTCTTTCACCGAAGCTTTTTTTTTTACCTATTTCTTCTCTTGGTTTGGAGGGTTTCTAGTTGACTAAAGTATCCTTTGGGCGATCGGATCTACCACAATGATCACACCAAAGATTATATCACTTTAGCATGTAGCTCTTTAGGCATTAACCTTCACGAACAAGAAGTGTTGTGTTATATACTTATATCCATGGGAAACCATTAAGCACTCACCATGACATTATTGTCTTCTTATATCGGCAAATGCTTCGTAAAGGCACAAAGGAACTAAGGAAGCCTTTGAGCAAAAATTATTCCTTGAACATTATCAAACTTCTTATTAAAACCAATTAAGAAGTTTAAATAGACATTTCTTTTCAACAATCCTTCTATATTTAAATCCATCTTCAAGACAATCCCATGTATGTTCTTCAAATATATCTAATTGTTCCCAGAGTCAATTGAGACTTTTTAAGTATCGAGTGAAAGAAATATTCCCTGCTCTTCAATCATAAAGGATGCACTCAATCTCAGATATCTTAGATGCATTTTCAATGTAGAAATATTTCTTGTTTGATGTTGATTATATTTTCTCAATTGATTGGATAGGAAAATGTTTAATTCTATTTCATTAGTCATGGAATGAATAAACCATGACATGATCATTTATTATCAATCTTCTAACTATGATGCACGGATACAGAGATAGTGACACAGACATGGGACACATCAATTATTGAAAATATAAGACACTGATACATTAAACATGATATTATCATTTTTATATCTTAAAAATAACATTTAAAATAAGTAGAATGTTACTAATAATTAAGAAATAATAAATAATTTAATTAATATTTATACTTAAAATAATTAATATTAGGATTACGAGAGTCGAGCATAGATTTCGTGTGTTAGGAATCGAGGGAGAAAGACAACAATACTATTGAGAGTTTGGCATCGATGTTGTGCAATGGGCATCAGGCATCAATGTTGAGATGACGTTGCCTTCGATATCAAGACGGCATATGTCATAGATGTTGAGATGGCGTTGGGCAAACACGAGATGTCGAGATGGCGCGTAAGCATGATTGTGAGTTTAAAAATTGCTAGCATTAAGCATCAATGCCAAGACTATTTCAAAAATCAATATTGAGATTATTTTGAATGATTGACGTCGATGTTGAGATGATGTTGGACAAAGACAAGATGTCAAGATGGCGCGTATGCATGATTGTGAGTTTAAAATTTGCTAGCATTAAGCATTAATGCCAAGATAATTTCATAAATCGATATTGAGATGATTTTGAAAGGTTGATATTATGACAGTGTGGGACGCTGATGTTGAGAAGATATAGTGTATTATTGTGAAACTCTAGCCATAACCTGCCAGTAAAAAATGAAGATGAGAATGTTCAAAAAATGAAGTATTGAGTGTGGGTGATTGTTTTGAGATTAAGGAGAGGAAATAAGAATTTTATTTTTTTATTAATAAATAAAAATTTAAAATACAAGAAATTATATTTAAAAAAAATTATGAAATATTTAAGACATCCGGGTCCAATTTAATTTTAATATTTGTCTAATCAAACATATCTTTAGCATATCTAACATGAATCAAATATGTGTCGTATCTCATACGTGTTGAACACTGCATACATTTTGAAGAGAAGTATCGATGTATCATTAGCTTCCAAGATACATAAGATCTTCATTCAGTTGGAGAGCCTCTTTGGTATGATGCTCATCTCTCCCTCTCTTTGCGATGAATATGAGCACGATTGGGACCATTAAAACAAGAATACCCATAGTACTTACTATTGCCTATAATGCGACAAAGTGAACCCCTTGTGCTATTTGTATAGCACGGTACAAGGTATCAAAATGATGTGAACTATTTCGCTATTTTTGGGCTACAACACAAAGCATATTCAACACATCCAATTTTGTTTCTCTATTTTATTGTTTAAAACTATTATAAACATTACTTAATTTTTATAATATATTAATATTATTTTTAATTAGAATTTTAATACTCGCTCATATCAACCGTCACAGTAACGCACTTGGCTTGGCTCCTCTTTAAAGTTCTTTGCACCTAGTGATGACTTAACCTCCTCTGCAACTTGTAGATTCAAAATGATACAACCTCTTGCACGCAAGGTCGACTTGACTCCTCTTTATAGCCCTTCAAAAGGGACGACTCCTTTTCATATACAGAATTTTAATAAGAGTACACATTTTAGGTATCTTGGATCTATTAATGAGAGTGATGGTGAAATAAATGGGGATATTATTAGTAGAATTCAAGTTGGATGGTTGAAGTAGAATGCATCAAGCTTATTGTGTGATAGAAAAGTCCCCATCAAACTTGAGGGAAAATTCTATAAAATGGTGGTGAGACCTACAATGCTCTATGGTGCAGAATATTGGTCATTAAAAGAAAAGCATAGTACTAAGTTAAGTGTTGTAGAGATAAGGATGCTCAGGTGGATGATGGTTTTGCCCTTAGAGACAGGATACAAAATGAGCATATATGTGAAAAGGTGGAAGTAGCTCCAGTGGAAGATAAAATTAGAGACAGTCGTCTTAGATGGTTTGGTTACATAAAATGACGGCCTTCCAATGACCCGGTTAGGAAAGTAGAGGTATTAGATTTGACTTATATTAAGAAAGGTAGATGTATACCTAAAAAGATTTGGTTAGAAAATATTAGAAATGATCTTTCTTTATTAGATTTAAACGAGAATTTGACTTTTAACAGGACACAATAGAGAAAAAGGATTCATGTAGCCAACGCCACATAGTGGGACAAAGGCTTGATGTTATTTTTATTGTTGTTGTCGATCATAGAACTTATGTCAAAATGCATGAAATGAAATGCAGAACTCACAATGATTATGTCAATTTCAAGACACAAACAAAGCAGTTCCAAGTCAAAATGTTTCAGATATTTCTGCATGCATCTCCATGTTGTCAAACATAAGCAAATTACAACAAAAACTTGGTAGTTTCCAAATAAATTGATGCGTGCATTCAACTAATCCAAGTTATCAATTGAACGTTAGAATCAACATAAAGTCCTTGAATATATTACGTTGGAATCTACAAGTTACCAGAAGCTTGTATTTGTATATTCATCAGACGCATATACTTTCCTAGAATCTCACTAGTTTTGAGTTTGGGTAACTAACTAATGAAAAAAATTTCAGGTCAAGCATCATCTTTAAATGCAAAGTGATGCGTAATTTTCAATGCACATGTAAATCAGATACTCAGATGGCAGAAATTCTTAAACAAATTGCAATTCAAAAACTGTGAGTCCTTGATCCCAATGGTATGGAGATCAAGCCAGGTTGTTCGCAGATTATATTGAATGAAGTACCTATGTGGAGCACTGAAAAATGCCCGTTTCTGAGTCAAGTCAGTTTTCACATCACATTTTAGATTGCAAATGGCCTGATTGCAGAGCGCTTGCTTACATGCATGATAAAATTAAAGATAATATAAACAAACCCAACAAAAATAATTTTTTCTCTTCCAAAAATAGAACAAATAAAAGACACAAAGATTACATATATTTCAACCTTCTTGCACCTGTCTAGAATAATTGAAACACTATTTTGCTGAAGTTTAAATTCAATAAGATATTAAAAAAAATAAAGCTATGTACATTTGTTGATAATGATTATATACTAGATCCATCAACACAAATATCAAAATACACTTAGCAGGTGTTCGATTATCATATTTTGAAACAAGCCCAAGATATTGTCTATTTTAAAGCCTTAGGAACGCACAACTGTTTTATTTTGAAAGAATTTCAGAGCTGCCTAGAACTAACCTATAAACAAAAATATACTGCTCCAACTTACCAACGTGATAGCCAAGTAGCATTAATGAAAAAGCTCCTTAAAAAATAATATACAACAACTTGGTGGCTTGTAGCACACTGAAAAAACCTGTGATCATGTTTTTTGTTTTTCTAAATTGTCGAACTGCACCGCTGTGTCAAGTATTAACAAGAGAGGGCACCAAGTACAAGATGTTAAATTTATAGCTAAACAGAAAATTAACAGCACTATTTTTCTTAATATTCTGGCTAGCTAAGCATCTTAAGAGTCATGGATCATAAGACGCCTAAAAACAGCATGAATAGTGCAAAAATAAAATGACCGTTAATCAACAAAAAGAGATAATGTAAAGCAGGTGAAACATTAATTTATGTAGCATAAAATGAAAAATGTAAATGAAGGTAATAATTAAATTATATAAATTCCAAACGACGTTATACGAGAAAGATTTTAAAATTAAAAGACTATAAGCACCAGATCTGACCAGGTAAGTTGCATCAAACAGTAAAAGACAAAAAGGTTGGCACTCTACCTTGAGTACGATGTGCATCTTTGTACAAATGATGAAGAACGAAGATATGAACCTTTGCAGGAATATACTCATTCATATTCAAAAAGCACATCAACATGTACGTATTTCCTCATGACCGAAAATACAGATGAGGTAAAATTTGCAAGCATTTGGCATTCTTCTCGAGTCTTTGCCTCAGATAGAACACCGTGAATGACTAACTTATTAAGGTTAGGACACCTATCAACCATCCCGAAAACCCATTGACCAAAGTGCTCACCTATTACCGACCATCCCAGTTCCAATGTTGTAACATTTTTAAGAGATAATGAGCCATGTAAACCATTATTAAACAAGCTATCCCTTGTGTCATAGCTTAAGCAAAGATGCTTAAGGTGAGGGAAGCAAATAGCAACAGTCTCTGAATCCATCATCTCATCCTCATCGTCAAAAACTACACCCCAAAGCCGGAGTTTTCTAAGTTTAGATGACCTGGAAAGCATCTGGTAGAACTTTGACCAGGTGATTGTAAAGGTGCTGACATCTATGACCTCCAAGTGGTCCATGCTCTCACCAATATCCAAATGTGTGATACTGACATCATCAAGCTTAAAAATTTTCAAGGCACCTTTTCCAATTAGCTCAAACAGGTCAAGATTTAATGTATCTAATTGCAAATTCTCCAAATTATCAGCCTCCAAAATTATTTTATCGACAGCTAATGCTTTGGCATATAAGCTCCTCAATGTTAGGCTGCTTAGTTCCATTGATGATAGTGAATCTGATGTCACGATTTCCAGCGATACAAGTGTGAGAGTCTCTATCTTTGGACAGGCAGCTAATAGCAGGCTCAAATCTAAAGCGGAGACACTAGCATGTCTAAGGGAAAAAGATCTCAGTGAATTAAATCTCTGGTAGCTTGGTTCAACCCCAAAGACGGAATTGTGGTCCAAATCTAACACCTCAAGTTTCTGTCGACCACATTTCTCCAAAATGTTCACAGTAGGCACGGTGCAAACATTGAAAGATAGACTCCTCAGGGTTTCCCTCGTATACATGAGCCAAGCAATCACAGGTGCAGCCGAGAATTCCTGTACATGATCCATACGGATCGAAAGGCACTGAAGGCCGATTGTTTGGAATATAGTCTGCGTTATGATTATTTCAAGCCGCCTGGTAGTGAGATCACGGTAAGCAGGGAAATCATCAGAGGAAAAGCAAAGGGTGTGGAGGTGCTTCCTAAAGGATTCTCTCCATTTGCGGCAAGTTGAAGAGGCAACCACAACTTTCCTTGCACTTCCTAGATGGGATAGAATGTTACCAACAACTTCCACAGGAAGGTTATCCATGAACGATTCGGAGAGCATAGGCACTCGAAAGGAAGTCTCTACTGTTCAGAGGAATAGACCTCTTTGCATGTCATTGGAGGCCAACTATCTGTAGATAAAGAAGCCTGTGTGGCGTTCAAAAGATCCTAGAGCTGTTAGAAAAACTGAGTTCCCAGCATATGTAATACCCCACATCTTGCCTTCCTGCATAAGCTGCTTAGACATGGAAACAGGATTAAGAATTTATCAGAAGGGGGTATTTGAATCAAGAAATAACATGAAAAATATACTCAAATAAGAAAATTCGTATCCTCCAATTAATTATCTGCTTCATCCAAACACCAAAGGGCTGTTTGGCAATAGGACTTACGGAAGATTTGAGCAGGATTAGCGAAAATCCCGCCAATAAATTCTGCCAAAAAGGATTTCGACTTGGCATAACGGAATAAATCCTCCATTACCACTGTTTGCGGTAAATCCCGGATTACAAAATCCGGGAGTTCGGCGGATTTACGAGATTTGGCCGAAGAAACGCGCTAAAGGGAGAATATGGTTACCTTCGCAATGAGCGAGCTCCCTTCCGTCGTCGTCGTTACTTCCGATCCAATTTGAAGGAACGGCAGTCAGAAAGCCGTCCCGAACAAAGCCGAAATCTTTTATCGATTCGTTCAAAATTTTATCTCACGCGCCAAGCAGGCTTAGTCGAACAGGGAACAACCAGAGAAGAGGAAATTGTAAAAGCAAACCCTACGGCCTACGGCTGAAATCGGCGGAGATATCATAGGACGTAATTAAATTAAAATTAATTAAAATATATATATAATTAATAATTAATTATTCATTAATTAATAAATAATTTAAATTCTAATTAAACTATTTATAATGATTAGTTATTAATGATAATCATAATTGAAATTAATAATTAAATTAGAAATAATTAAAATTATAGTTATATCGAAATTAAAAAGTAATTTCATAAAAATTATTCTTTAATTATTTTATTTTTGCAATTGTAATTTATTAATGATAATTAAAATTGAAATTAATAGGTAATTTGCACTTAAAATTTAAGTAGATATTATTAATTAAATAATTAACAATGTAAATAATAATTAAATAATTAATGAGTTGTAGAATATTTAAACCAATAATGAGGTACTTAATAGTACAGTTAATCACTAAAACTAATTAAAGAACACTTAAATAATTAAAGAATTTTTAGGAGTATTACTTAAATAATTACTTATTTCAAAAAATAATGAACTGATTAATTTAATTTGAATTACTTATTAAATTATATAATAATTTAACTAGTTTGTAATTATATTATTAATTTATCATTATAACTTATTTATGATAATTTAAATTAAAATTAATAAATAACTCTTAATATGTAAATTAAATTGAAAACATAACAAATGTAATTTTTAAATGAACTAACCACCGTAAATCCTTTATTATGTTGTCAAATATTTTCAAAGAATTTAATAGGATTCATCACTTAACTTAACAAACAGTTTCAAGATTTAACAACTCCATTATTTATTAAATTCTAAATAGCTAAATCTTGCTAGTTGCCAAACAGACCCTAAGAGCTATTATTTCTTCCTTATCTTGACATTAAATAAGCAATCCATGGAAAGGATAGTTGATAACAAATTTCAGAGTCATCCAGGTTTGTCATATGTCTGATAGTCAAGTCATGACATAAGCTGAATAATCCATGATAAATAATACTTTCTAACAAATTTCATAACCATCCAGGTTTAAAATGTGGATAAATAAATAGGTGTTCCATCAACGAAAGTTAGCAAGGCACACAATGCCTACTCGAAACTCAAACAGGCCATCTAATTGGTTTCAAGAATAACTCAAAATGAACACACAACATTCAAACATGTAAAAAAAAATCTAGAATCTACAAATTTCATAAAATTTACTGGTTTTCCCAACATCGCAAGAACTTCCTGTCCTTGTGTATTTATCATTCAATAAATTAGGCGACCCGTATTCATAAAGAAATTGGTTGAAAAATATTTCTCCCATATTTAAATCCACAAAGAATGCCAGCCTTTGAAAAAAATAAAACAGATGAACATATAGAAATATTCTTCTTTCGAGAGAAGCGAAGATTGAACGAGGATTTATTTAGATAAAATAGATAAATGCGGTAATTTTTATCAAAATGAGTATGAGGCAGGGGAAGGGTCCATCGACTCAAGCATAGCTTTGTGGGTGATTGTTTGCTTTCTCCCTCTCAGCATTTCCAACTTCTTTTCTACTTTGCCCAGTGATCGCACGTGCGGTGTGGTTGATGCATAGGGCCTAAGGTTTATGCTACCTAGTAATTTTGTATTATATAATGCTCGGATGGTATAGCTTTACTTGATTGTGTAGGTTATAAATGATACTTTATTTGTGAATTTATAAGCCCTAATTCTATCAAAAAGAGATGCAATTATAAGTATGAGAGAAGGAATTAATTTGTTTTGGCATTTCCGAATGACCCTCGCTCTCCATTCTTACTCCTTCCTATGAGAGCCTGTGGCTCTCCAAATCCATCCTGTCGCCTCCTCTCTCCTCACCTACGCCAACAAAAAGCTCCGGCGATCATACCGTCACCTTCATGGACACTCTCCGCCTGCCCTAGGGTGTTCGTTTCCGCCTCCGTCAGCGGAGGACCCCCTCAATCCTATCAGCAGCTGCAATGGAGGCTTCAGTCCCACGCGAAGAGGACGGAGCACGATAAGGACGAGGAAGAGGAGCGTCCGGTCCCCTACAAGGTGGATGTAGTCTCATGGAGAGAGCGTCGGATTAGGGCTAAAGTTCTCGTCCATGCCGATGTGGACACGGTGTGGACGGTGCTCACTGATTATGAGCGGCTTGCCGATTTCATCCCAAATCTCATCTATAGTGGAAGAATTCCCTGCCCGCATCGAGGTAGAATATGGCTGGAGCAGAGAGGCCTGCAAAGGGCTTTGTACTGGCACATCGAGGTTAGAGTGGTCTTGGATCTTCAGGAGTTTACTAAATTGGATAATGGAAGGGAGCTACAATTCACTATGGTTGATGGAGATTTTATGAAATTTGAAGGGAAATGGTCTATCAAAACTGGCCCAAGGTCGTCAACAACAATTTTGACATATGAAGTTAGTGTGATCCCAAGATTTAACTTACCGGCCATATTTCTTGAGAGAATTATCAGGTCTGATCTTCCAGTTAACCTTCGGGCCGTGGCTTGTAGGGCTGAAAAATGTATTGAGGATGGCCAAATTTCTCCTTCGCTAGAAAATGGTGTGGGTTCAAGTCTCCCACCTACCATTCCTTCACGAACCATGAATTTTTCTGATGATCTATGGGAGACAGATATCCTGCCTTCGGCAATGCTAAAGGAAACTTATGCGGGTCATGCCTTTGTTTCTGTTCGTTCTTCAAGTAATAATGATTTCAACAGCAAATGTGGCGTGTTTGGAAAAGTCTGTATATTAGATAGTAGGTCATGCATGGCAGATGAAGTCCATTTGCGTAGATTTGATGGCCTATTGGAAAATGGTGGTTCTCATCGTTGTGTGGTTGCTAGCATTACTGTCAAGGCGCCAGTTCATGAAGTTTGGAACGTTTTAACTGCCTATGAGACACTACCAGAGATTGTTCCAAATTTAGCTATCAGTAAGATTCTCCTCCGCGATAATAGCAAAGTTCGCATTCTTCGGGAAGGTTGCAAAGGTCTACTCTATATGGTCTTTCATGCACGCGTTGTTTTGGATTTGCATGAAAAGCATGAGGAGGAGATCAAGTTTGAGCAGGTTGAAGGAGATTTTGATTCATTCCAAGGAAAATGGATATTGGAACAACTTGGGGATCAGCACACTTTGCTCAAATACAGTGTAGAGTCAAAAATGTACAATGATACTTTTCTGTCAGAGGCAATTGTGGAAGCGGTTGTGTATGAAGATCTTCCATCAAATTTATGTGCTATACGTGATTTTGTTGAAAATAGAGTAACTGTTATGAGTGATACTCCAAATAAAGCAGTATCCCCAGCTGAGGATGATGTGTATCTGAATGAAAATTTGCTAAAAGAGAATATTTCTAGAATTACTTCTTCTAATGCATTGAAGCGCAGGCCTAAGGTTCCAGAATTGCAGAAGGATTTAAATATCCTTAAAGCTGAAATTGTTAGATTTATATCAAAATATGGTCAAGAAGGTTTCATGCCCATGAGGAAACACCTTCGCTTGCATGGAAGAGTGGATATAGAGAAAGCAGTCACTCGGTTGGGTGGATTTAGGAAGATTGCGAGTTTTATGAACCTTTCCTTAGTTTACAAACAAAGGAAACCTAAAGGCTACTGGGATAGCCTTGAAAATCTGCAAGAAGAGATAGGTCGATTCCAGCGAAATTGGGGAATGTTGAAAATTAAACTTGATTAATTGGGCCTTTGATTGAGTGGGCTTTCTAATTGAGCCCATAGCCTAGAAAAGTCTTTAGAAAACTCTAGAATTCTACTTTATGGTGAATGTTTTAGAGGATTCTAGAAATATATTCTAAAAAGAGTTGTTTAGAGTATTCTAGAATATGCAATTAATGACTTTTGTAAAAGAAGATAGGAGAATAATCTAGAGAGTCAATATTAGCCATTGGATTAAAATGTGTTGGCACAATCCTAAGGGGGAAGTCACTAGTATAAATAGGTGTGGAGTCTTTGTGTTTATGTAAGAAGTATAATCAAGAGTTCAAGAGTGAAATAAAAGTGAGTTTTATAAGTGTTCCTCTTCTCTTCTAAAATTCTTCCTCTTTCTATAGCCTCTTATTTTCCAACAGGGAATGGATCCTACCTACATGCCCAGTAGAAAATCTTTTGAGCGTGCAGGGCGTTATGACATTGCCCGAGCACTGGAGAAATGGGGCGGTTTGCAAGAAGTCTCACGCCTTCTGTCTCTTGAGATTAGGCATTCCAGAAGAAAGGCTGATTGTGATGGAGATAACCAACTAGATTCTAAATCTTCTAAGGAGACCGTGGACCAAAGAACGACATCACATAAGCCAATTATTTCGCAAGATACACAAAAATGGCTCACGAAACTTAAAAATTTAGATATAAATTGGGTCGAGTAGAAGCTGGCGGACTCTTAAACTAATATCCCATTCTGTTCTTTCTCTCATCTTTTTCCTTTTGAGTCTTGTTTATAAATTTTTTTGGAATTTTGTTGATGTATGATATCATTGTTTCTAAGTAAATATTTGATCTTTTTGGTTAAAAAATAACATAAAAAATTATAAGTATGAGAGAAACAAGGAGCAATAATTAAATCTTTAATATATGCAAGTTCAGTTCTAACTCAAAATGAAAACCAAAAATTAATTGTCATTGGAGTGGAGTGAAAGTGAAACAAAATTAATCATTCCCAAAAAATGATACATGTACTTTTTTCTAACATCAACAAAATGAAACTATCTATAGAGGAGATTTGGATCGAGGCAATCAAGTAGCTTTTAGGTTGAGTATGAATTATCATTTCTGGTAGCCCACACCAGATTGGCCAAATAATATTATAAATGGCTAAATTTAAAGAAGCGTTAAATGTGCCATCACATAAACGAGAATGGCAACTATCATAATGCCATCTAGTTAGAAAGAAAAACTTCCAGCTTCATCCCATTTTTGGATATTTCCATTTAGTAGGATATTTCAAAGATTCATAATGTATAGGTTTAAGTTATGAATTACACTGTTATCCTCATTCTAGTGCAAGAGATATTGA